TATCAAGACGTTTGATTTCTGCAAAAATTGGTATCTCTGGTTTTCGGGGTTTGTCGATCACAAATGCGAAGTCGATAGTAAAGAAACAACAAAATGACGCAACTAAAATGGTGGAGAAACGTATTAAAAAATCATTACATCTGGCTGCAACTTGGTATTTTTATGGTTTCGACGTCATTCGAATTCAAAATTCAGGATAAATATGTTTAAAAAATGTTATATAATTCTCTATAGTGCGACGTAAGTTTATAACGTGTTATAATACAGCTCACGAGGCGCTTATGTAATAATTTCATTATACGTGTTTGCGTAATTTACATTCATAATTCGTATACTCTGCTTAAATAACACATATTTTAATTCCAAACAAGAACTAGTAGCGTTACTTTATAACTTAATCTTTTCGCTGTACTCGTATGACACGCTTATTTTTCAAAGTACATGTCCTACGAGACGAAGTTTCAGTCGAAGCTTACACGTATCAAGTACCTATACGAATCTTTACAACGTGGAAATTGATTTTGTAGGAAAACCGCAATGCTATCGGGTCTAAAATATAAAAGAGGCGATGAAAATTCGATCGAGAGCAAACGTCGAGTTAAATTCGAGCACGATACTGCACGAGTATACTTGTACAGAGAAAATAGCAATACGGGAGAAATGGTAAAAAAATAGAGACGAATTTATGATTGCTACAACGAAACGAGAAACTGGCAAGGGGCAGACGTATTCCGGCATTTGGTATCGAGGCATCGAATAATAATGATGCTACTCAACGACCGGTGACATTCAGCATCCTCGAACTGGTTGCTTGTTATTCTGATAGATAGGATCGTTCCTCTGGTAAAGAGGTAAAACGAGAGGAGCGTGACATTCAGCCGGAGATATTTCGTGTCGGTGGTATTTGAAGGGAGAATGGAAATGTGATCGATGTCCCTGAACTAGGTGGCTCTGGGTGTAAATTCTCGCTCTAAATATGGTGCGTTTATTAAGTTTTCAACCAGTTGCAAGTTTCGTTATTTTTGCCCGGTTTTTCTCTCTTTTGATCTATTCAACGATCACAGAAAGGATGTCGCGTCTGCTGCCTGTAATTCAATGGATGAAACTACGCGGATTCGTGTGCCTTGAGCTGGGCCGTGTCGTGTTACTGAATTTTCATCATCAGACCGGGCCACTTTTCACGCGACTCATTAGGTTGCAAGCTGGTGCTTCACTTTTTATTCTCCTCCCTTTAAGCTGGCCGACGAAGCAATAAAGATTAGCGTGGCGGTTAAATTAAGTCGCGTCGCTTTAAAACTTGAGGTATAAATGTCAGATAAGTCTGCCCCGTGAAACAGCGTTCGAAGAACTCTTTCGAGCATAGTCGGGTGTCCGAATGGACTGATTTATTTCGCTTTTGTCGTTATTCGGATTACAGGAATTTAATATAATTAGAGAGGAAAATTGGTCGAATAAACGGAGAAGCACAGGCTGGTGAAGGGTAGGTTTAAGATTTAGTCGATGACTGTTGCTATTTCTTGCCAGTAATAAATCCGGCAAATATTTCTTCCGATATCAATCTAATTAAAATTAACCTCTTAAAGATCAATTTGAAATAAGAAGAACATTTGAAAGAAGACTTGGAAAAATTGTGTTTGACAATTGCCAGAGTAAAGGTACTTTTAAGCGTCTCCTGGCTTGCACTAGGCAAACCCTTTATGGTAGCTACTTAGCGTTGAAAGTTTGGCACAGTGACCTCCCAAATATGATCGTTAGGGCTGAGCTCATCATCGGCCTAAATACGTGACGTCGTGACACGTAATGAAACGCGAGGATAGGTCGCGACACATCTGTGGACCTGAGTTACGTTGTGCATAGTGTTCGCAACACGAGGACGTTACCCTGACTGGAGAAGGGGATGAATAGGATATAAAGCGATTGCTGAGGATAATCGGTGCGATTTTTGCGATATCCATGCAGCCTTTGCCACTCGTCGAAAACGTTAGCCTCCGTGACCAACTATTTACGAAAATATGATCCGCGGATAGACCTGACGTGCGTTACTGAAAAATTTCATACAACTATTACGTAATCTCGTTTGAAACTTAATTAAATTTACGTTTTAAACTTAATTAAAGCTCGAATCAAACGTAATCGCGCATTTCAACCAATTCTCGACCTATGATGTCAACTTTGCACGCATCGACATCTCTTTGCATTCTCCGTTATCTTGATTCTTCGTCACGAGACCCTTTTTTTCGTGACCATGTCAAAGCAAGAATAGTCGTTTCGTTTCTTGTTTGGCGAATTTCGCGTAGATCTTTGGCCAGGTTGCACCGAGTTTCAGCAATTTTTCGAGATACCAGGGATGAAAGAGATACGCCGACGACCTGGATGCTTGAATAGATCATTCTTGGTCGGGCTGCCGAATGTTCTGTGCCGTGCATCGACGGATACTTGCGTCTGTGCAGGGTGCATGCAATGGCGCGCATTCGTACTTTGATCACATCTCCGTTAGAATAGCTACCACCTCTTTTTCCCGCCACCTCAGTCCCGTCTCTCGTCGAGCTTCGGATGATCGTGGCTTTTTGAAACGAGACTTTGACGACGTTTATACGTGGTCGTGAAAAATCGCTGGGTTACAGTCTGGTGTTTACGACGATACACTCGCACGGTTACTCGACAACGCGCTTCTTGAAAAGATTACTTTGTCGAAAAATCCATCGTGTCGCTTCTTCGCCTTCGAATATTCGTTCAGTTCGTCACGCCTGATCGTTTTCCAGCTGTGTAAATTCGATTCGAGGTGCCGTGGCGAAATTGCGTTCGTGTTCTCTAAGTATTGCTGTGAAGTCGGTGGAGTTTATCTCGTGAGGGTAGATTGTGCCAGAAGCGTGTGCTCGAGAGCGCGAACTGTTGCCTGGACTCTTATAACACGGTATGTATGCACGTTGAGAAACCGAGTAAACGATATACAGAAATATCGTTGTTTTCTCTTTCCTTTTTTCTTTCCCTCTCTCTTGCTTTTTATTTACATCCACGTGTCATGTTTTTCTCACTGGTGAAATCCAAATTGTCTCTGTGATACAATTGAAGCAACCCATGGGAGTAGCCCATGTATAAAGCACGTGTTCCTGGAATTCGCGATTTATCGAGAGTAAAAGTGTTTCAAAAAAATATTCGCGAATACTTGTGCATCTCGTTCGATGATTGCATTTCACCCAGTGCGATACGGATTTTCCTCTGATAATTTGCGTACACCCAGGAACGAAGTATCGAGCCATAACTGCGAACAATGCGAACTAAATCATACGTCAAACCTATTTCCATTCACAATCGAAGTTATTATTGCATTCTCGGCAATGCTATTAGCAACTATACGATTCTCTTCTACGATAGTTAGCATTAAAGTGCTTCGTTATGTCATGCAGTTTCGTCGACGATCATCGTCCGTGCATATGTTCTCATTTTTACGTGATTAAATTTTTATACTATTTTTATCGTCGCTAAAAATACGAAATATAAGTCGGGTTTTGTAGAAATTGGTAATTTTCATGTTGCCAACACGTGTACACGAGCTATTGCTTTATACGTTTCGTTCTACGTATTTAGGTAGAGCCCCAATTATATTTCGCATATTCGTTATTCATTCGCATCGACGACGTCGAGTTGATTTTTATATCGTATTTCATTTTGCGGAATAAATATGTAAATTGATTGCAATATTGCCATCTACCCGAATTCGAGCAGTCAGGTATTTTTCATTTTTATAAATAACGTCGATCTTGTTTCCTTATTTACTTGGAATAATACAAATATTATAACGCAAAGTTATTATAGACCAAAGGTTAAATATCGACGATGAAAAATCAACGAAAAATTCTATCTGCTGGATTATGTTTGCTTGGATTTTTCTGTCTCTGTTTTAATTGGAATTTTTATGCACGTCTGTAAACGCACGGAATATTTTTTCACAATATTTCTCCACAAAAATCATTCTCTATTCATAGAGTTTGGAATCCAAAACATCATGGCAATATTTGATGTCAAAGAACAAATTTCATTTCCCGTGACCTACTTTTCTAATACAGACTGCATCGATTAGAAACTTGATACGTAATTTTAATTTCAAATTTTCGATAAAAAAGCTGCAGTAGTCTCTTTTCATTTCACCAGCCGGGCAATTTAAATCGGCGAAAAATCGATAAAAATTCAGTCGAGAATTTTGTATATTTCAAAATTATATTCCTTCTCACGAGCTGAAGCTTAACGACTTCGATAATTTAAGTTCTACGATTTTCAACAAAGGGAACAAAAGGAAAAGAAAAGGCTACCACGACATTTACAAAATAAATTTCCAAAGGGTGAATAAAAAATTCAACTCCTAAATCCAATAGTCCGGTAACAGGTGAACTCCACTCGTTAGTATCAATTTCTACAAATCTTCCGGAGAACCGGGTTGAAACATTAATCTCGAAGCCGTTAGGCGAGTAAATCAAACGGATAACCTTCTTCTACCACTAAAAACTTCACACCAAAGTCTGAGAACTGGTAGAACATGAATTAAAACGTTCAGTTCCTCCTCGGACGAAAAATTCTCCGCTCGATCTCGTATTATTTTCGTCTGTCTCTTATCACGAATTTCCACGAGTCCTCCAAAGTATACATCCTGCAAATATTGACCTTCGACCCATTTCTCCGCAAAATGCACGAACCACCATTCCCGGTGCCACCATCTGGCTTCTGAATTTTCCCCATCCAGTTTTCGAACAAGAAATTCTTCCCGCAGTTTCAATATCAACTTCGTCTATTAGCAACGTCTGCCAAAAATCTTCGCGAGCGTAGAGTTCGCAAACATGGATTTCCAAGCGGGTAGCCTGACAAAGTACACAAACCGTGGTACCCCTTTGGCGGGACACGAAACGCTCGATTCATCGGGAACCTCGCTTTCGTGGATTTTCCTTTTAGCCGTTGAAGAAACACCGCGTGGCCACCGTGGACTTTCATCGTTGTTTGGATTTCAGAGACAGCAGCGGGGGGCCCCGCGTTTCCGTCGTTGGCCCGGCAAAATCAACAGACGCCACGGAATATCAGAAGCTTCGGGGGATGCGAAAACCGGAGGACGATGTCGATGAGACCGGCCTGGGGGCCGAAGTTGTTTCTCGTGCTGGTGACGACCACGATCGTTATCGGCAATTATCAGCGTCATCGCGGCAGGACTCATTTGTGCGAGCAGCTCGTTAACAGCCACAAAGTGACGAGGAACATCACTCGACTGCAAGGTGAGTCACGTTTGGATATCTAACGGGAATTATTGAAATTTCGACGCTTTGCGACGATTTCCGGCTTGTCCTCGCTTTCTGCTCTCTTCTTCCGAATGTGCTATCTTCTCCAGGTAGATTCGAATCCAAGTAGATTTGATGGCGATATTTTAAAGATGTACGAGAGAGGTTGGAGATACGCGAGGGTATCCTGCGAGAAAGGATGGAGAATACATTTTTGTTGATTTTCTAACTTTTATGTCACTCGATGGCTGAACAGAGAACTTTCGTATGACGTATCTGCGCTTCTAAAATACGCGATAAATCCAAGTTAAAATTTGCAAATGTCACTTGAACTATTTTCATCGCGATAATGCTTTTCAAAACGAGAAACAATACCCGAGGAATATTACATTTATAGCTTGCTCTAGAAATTGAACTCTAGATATTTGCATAAACATGGATTCATAGTTTTCTAAATATATACATTGATACGGTTATTCGATTAATCCAGATTCCATATACGCTTCTAAATCGGGATTTTGACTGTTTTAGTTTAAGCTTGTGTTAATTTTCATTAGCATTAGCAAGAATGCATTAGCTGGAACTTTTCGAGGGTTTCGCGTATAATGGGAAATTATTGTCGCGAATAATCTCGTATAAAACACGAGATAGTGATACAAGGGATGTTCTCGCTTACGTTCCATATTTAGTCACAGCGAGCCAATATTGTCACGACTAGAAAAACATATATCGAGCTACGCGCTATGCCATAAAGTTTTCGGGAAATACTTCACGGGCCCGTATCGATGCGTTCAGGCAATAAAAATATTTCGCAAACATAAACCAAGATTTTTACAAACTCGCATTTCTTGTCGACTTTCTTTCCGTTATTAAACTATTTTCCAAGTTAGATATATCGTGAATCAAAGTACGTATTATCGTACATTTTCTTTTAGCGACAGAGATAAACACGAATTGGGTACTCGGAGTTTCATTTTTCAAGATTTTTGTCCCATACAAATATTTGTAGGATATTTTTGGATACGATGGTCGAAGTGTTCCTGTACGGAACACTTCGCCAGGTTTAGAGGACCCGTTAGGATCTGGTGGCCAGATGTGTTATAGGAGGTCGGGGCCAGGCCACGTGAAGTGGCCTCGCGCAACCCTGGCATACCCGGTTGTAAACCGAGGGTGACTCATCTGTGGTCACCTTTCGGGAAGGGTCCCCGCCAGGGAGACCCTTAGGAGGGTTTAACCTGGAAGGAGGAATCCCTTCTACCCCTGAATTTTGGGTGGAGTGAGTTTTCTCCTCCTTCGGGGGAGGCCCTTGCCTTCCAGACAGGCTTAACCGTTTGAGTCCCAGAGACTTTTGGAAGAACTCGATGGAAAAACCCCGAACAGCGCGATAACGCTTGCTTAATCGAGTGTGAAGCAGTCCAAACAGCGCGATAGCGCTTGTTTAATGTTATATCGAAAAATCCCAATCGTCGCAATAGCGCTTGCTGGTGCTATGTGACGTACGTGCATCAGCAAAGTTGAGCGCGCCACTTCGACTGAAGAGCGCGATCGCATTGCTTGGGACTCAAACGGTTAAAAGGGCCCGCTCTGGAAGATAGAGTTAGTTTGAGTTTTTGTTAAGAGTTCGTATAGAGTCGTTATTGAGAGTTGTCGTCAAGAGTTGCGTAGCGTTGCTGCTAGTTAGAGATACAGTTAGAGTTCGAGTAGAGTCAGTTTGTAGACAGCTCATCCAGTAATAAACGATACTGTTATTGTTAGCCATCAACAGCGTTTTCGTACTTCTCGTGTCCAACCTGCCAGTTTCTCCGGAGCGATTCGGTAAAATTCCTACATATTTGTCCCGTGATTTCAGGAAAGGAACAAAGGTTGTAAACTGCAGTAGTCGAAGCAGAAATAAAAGACAAATAAAACGATAGTAATTTAGATGCTAGTTGTTCGTTAATTTCGAACACCACCAATTTTCCTGTGGTCGTAAATGGAAGAAATGCAAGCAAGCCACGTTATTTTGAATCTCGTTCCGAAGAGGAAATTTTTCCTAAAGGTGCAGCAGAAAGCAAGTTGCCCAACTGGAAGAAGAAAAAGTACGTTTTACGTCTTTCGAAGTGTTTTGTTCTTTCGCTGTTCTCGATTTAACCCCAAACGTAGCACGAAGCGAGGTAGAAAATAAAAGCTGCGGATACAATTAACGGAAAGACAAAATTCGAGTAACTTTGATTTTAGAATCTATTTCGTTACTACGCGAAAATTTACTCCATCGAGGATTTTCAGTACTTGCACTGAAAATTATTATCGGTGCTGTTTATTTACCTCCAGGTACTGACTCCCCTGTTTATGTGAGTTTGTTGTATAATAATCGTATATTTATTATAAAATTATAAATTTACACACGCATTATATCATAATTGTTCACTCTCACGCTTCTTATAACAAACTGAACTTTCTTATAACATATTGACTCTGATCCATAGCAACTGCACAGCACCGCGCATTCTAGATCTTCCACTCGCACTTCTAAAAACATACATATCTACATTTGTGCCATAACTCGCACACTTGCATTCACACTAATAAAATCAAATCCATAGTTTACACATCGCATGCTCAAGTAGTGAAGGATATAATATATTCTAATACCAAATCGGAACTAATTATCGTCTAGATCTATTCAGCCAATCTCTTCACTCTATAAAATACCTACTACGTCGCACCTCCCTGTAAAAATTTTTTTGTATCTCTTTGTATATTTGTATATTTTTATTTATCTTCGTTACCATTACTTTTATACCTCACCGTAGTAATTTTCTTGTAATTTTTCTAATAGGTTAATCCCGTGTGAATAAATAAATAAATAAAAATTCGAAAGTAGGAGAAATAGGTGATTTCGAGTCTTCAAATAATACCTTTACAATTTTATTTATAATTCTAATTTCATCGTTTAAAGCACCGAATAAATGACAATGATATAAAATTCATGGCGGCTCAAAAAGTAATTTTTCAATTAAAAGGAAATCGTAGTTTTTTAAATTTCTTACCATATTCTTGGCAATTCTCTACTGGAAAATTGTACCGTATACAATTCGCGAACGTTAAAATCGTTTATAAATACGCGAAGACTAAAATATCATGTTTACCAAAGTACGCTGCATCTTTCCAGCAGAACGTTTTTAAGGACAAACTATTAAATCAATATTTCATAGTTTTCCTATCATTTACAGGGTGTTCAGTCGTCGGATTAACCTTTTAAATCAGCACAATGCTCCACTTTCTTTCTTCAGACTGTTATATTAGATCGTGTTATAATTTCATTCGCAACGTCGGCTTGCGTTTGCAGACTTATTCTACTTAAATATGCCTGATCGATGACGTGCCTACGCTACTTAGAAATAGTCGTATTTACCCAAATTTACCATCTATATAACCACAGTTTCTCAAATGGTCACAGTAAATGATAACCAGGCTATTACGAGCAAATTAATTACGGAAACAGATCGAAACTACGCATATTATATTGCAAAATATAATATGAATATATAATAAAGTATCGAAATGCGTTCGAGTTAATACGAACCGAAAGAAACTTTGGTTCCGGGTATCTCATTGAACGGACATAAAATCCACTTTTCCCTGCATGTAATAATCTCTCATCGTGCCATAGGAAAAAAGAGAAAAGAAAAAGCGAAAGAAAAAATTAATATCACCGTGTATTCGTTGCAGCAAAATATAAAACGCGATATCCAACAGTCAGCCAACGAGACTCTCCAAAAAAAGGAGAATTTCTAATCCTACGAAATTTCCTGATGCTACGAAATGAAAAGTCGGAATGAACGAAGGCAGCGCGGAAACGAGGCGTACACGCCGAACAAAAACGGAATTGACAGTCATAAAAGCAATTTCGGCCACGTCGATTCGCGCGTCGAAGGGGGTCGAAGAGAAGCAGACGTATCGCAAGTGTAGCAGTTGATTTTTGGCTACACGCGTAAAGGATCGGGTGAAGGATGAAAAACGAGTGGCAGCGTGACACCGCGTCGTTTCCGATAACACCGACGCTGTTCTGCGTCCGACGCGTACGCTTTCGTCGCTCGCGCTCGCGAATTTATCGGCGATTTACTTGTCGGCGAATTTGCCGTCAGATTGTTTCGCGTCCCAGCAACGAGGACCCGGCGAGCGACAACGATGGAAATACGGTGGAACAACTCCTTAACCCGCTTACACCCCCGAGTATTCCCGGTCTCTCGACGTTAGCTCCGTTTGGAAATTTTTGTTACGGCCAGAAAGTACCCAGGGCGAATCTGTGGAAAGGAATGCTACTACTCGCCCAAGTTTTTTCATAAAACAGTTTTCCAACTTTCGTCACAAAGATTCGCTTTTCCGAGGAATTTTCGCGGAACGGACGGCAAATAGAGAAAGTCCGGGAATTAAATATGTCAAAAGTATTAAGCTCCCATATCTGCAGGCAAAATAATCTCGTAGAAGAAATTTCAAGGGAGATCGTGGAAAGAAGCGTGAATTAGCGAGGGTATTTAATTCCTCATAATCTCACCTTTGTTTGCATTTGAGGAGATTATAATTATTTAAGGTTTCCCACTTTGATAGAAATATACGATAACTATTATGCTCCGTGGGAAGTGAAATAAATATAACAAGAGTCAGTCATCGCGGATATAGATAAACAATTTTGGGGATAGATGGACGGATATTTCGTTGAAATTGATTCGTGAATTTACTTAAACGAGTTTGATTTTATCTCTGTAATATCATTAAAATGTCGCATTTCCACGAACCTGCTCTTCGTTAAGCAGGCTGAATGATATAGCATCGCTGAAAAGTTGCACCTCCAGCATCGTTACCGAATTAAAATTGCTTTAGAAGTCCCGCGTTGCGAGGATCGTTTGCAGAATTACTAGGTCTCGCGTTCGCTACGCTTTATTGCTCGAGCATTCCGAAATAATGAAGAACAAACACGGAAAGCCAATGGCGAAGGGGCTGTGTTTAATTACGCC